ACTTTTAAAGTTCTTCAAAATTCAAGGTTTTCCCCTCTTAAAAAATGTCAGGTAAATTTTTCTCATTTTTTATTTTATGTGTGTATACATACATAAACAAATGAGTAGTTGCATGCGTATTCTTTTTTACATGAATCGATAAATCCCAAAAAGAAAGGGTGGTCCGGGGGTTCTCCCCCATGAAAATTTTGATTCCTAGATGGCGAGATTTGAGCTTTCCAGACATTTGATGTGTGTTTTAATGAATTTTATGTTCTTCAAAATTCTAATTTTCTAATAGCAACAAAAAAAAAAATCAGCTCACGGGTCCTGAAAATGTAGGTCTAGAATTCTTTTCTTTTTCCCCTTTCTTTTGTTGCCCAAGGGAGGGGTCAGGACCCATGACCCCCCTCCCCCAGATCCGCCAATGTGAATTGCGAGAAAATGTTACTCGGTCGGGTACTGGATAAACATCCTCTTTCCCATCCTTCTTCCCTCCTTTTTTTGCATTTCCAATCATACAAAAATCTCCAGACATATATTTTTCGCCAAAAAGTTTTTTTTCCGCCGGCCATGACTATATGGGAAATTTACTGGGCCCCTGGTTATTAAGGGCCTTTTCAATAACATGCTTAAATTGATGAATTAAAAAACCAACTTTCCTGCTCACTATTTCAAAGGGGGAAATTGGCCAGCGAGGCTCTTTATAATATTTAGTTTTTACGGGCGGTAGCCTAAGTAATGATTATTATAGGCATTTTTTTTTTGTAATAGGGCCTACTAAAATACATAGCATTTTAAATCATGACGTTTTATGGTACGAGGTAAAAATTAAAAACTACTTAAATGAATTTTCCAAAAATGTGATTCAGTAGGCCTACCTACGAACTTTCATTAAAATAAATCAAGTACGGTCCATATAGGCTTAGTAGCCAGACCATGTTTTGTATGCACTTTGAGGTCCAGAGAATCTGACTTCAGAAATTGGTTTAGGATGGTCTCAGAACCATTTTTGGCTTAGTAACACATTTTCAAAATGTGGAGAAAGGTCAAAAGGCCAGGGTCAAGGGTCATAGATATAGGGTCGGCATCTCCGCAACCACTGGTGGTAGAGAGAGTAAATTTCGGTGCCTATTGTTTAGAACATTCACGTTCCTGTTTGTTCTAATGGAACTGTAAGATTTTATATAATCTTAGATGCTAATTAGCATATGTAAATAGCGCCACCATTGTCTATGATGCCATTGGTGCATCATTGGTGAATCACAGCAAGCCAAGGAAGCGGCAAGTGTAAACATGTGTTCTGAGCTGTCCAGAAAATATGTATAATTTTCTGTTTAATGCTGGTTTAAGAAAGACTACTTAAGGTGAAATGATAATGTAAGTCTATAGATTGTTACTGTATTCTTCATTTATTGATGACAATGATGTTTAGGCTTAATTATGGATATTATGTTGTATGATGAGCTATAGAGCCATCACATTGTTTGACATAGGCCTACTGTTATTTAGCTATGTTGAGACATATTATTGATGCTTATATTTCATGATATAGACAATCAATTTGTTATCTTGTTATATACCTTATGATGAAATATTTATTCTCTGTATCCATGTTAGAGCATATATGAATATTGGTATATTAAGCAATATGTATGACTTAAACATTATCCATATAGACCTGTTGTGTAAAGACATTCACTGTGGAATTTGTATTTCACGCTTGAATGATTTTGGTTAACCTAGCACAAATGTATGCTTGGTAGAGGATTAACAGTGGTTTAAGATAGGAGGCGTGATTCCTTTGTTATGAAATGAGGGCTTTTGTTTAAGATAGTTTATTCTTGGAAGTTAGTTCAGTGATAACTCAAAATGCACCCTTAATATTGCATGTTTCCCTACTATGATTATTCAGTATTTGCAAACTTATAATGATTCTATTTGAAATATAGGATATGGAGTATTCATGTACTGTAATGACAATCTGTGATCGGAACTGATTATCTGTCTGAACTGTGTAATTATACCCGGCAAAGTTGTAAGTTAATTGAAAACTATATGATATTTACATTGTAAGCAATATGGTTGTTTACGGATGATGATGATTGCTATACTCCAACAATATTTATTGATTTTATTGGTATATTTAATGATGTACTATGTTTCAATGACTGAACTTACGCTATCTTCAAGTTTGACTTATGTTTGCCATAAGGAATTTCAGGATTATTTTACTATGATTCATGAAATGTAGTTACAGTTGTTTTATGATGTTATCATGCTATTGTTCCATTCTGTATTTTTATAGAATCGAATGAGAAACGTTTGAATAAACAAATTCATATCAAACTCAAGCCGTGGTATAGTTGCGTTATTGCTAACCTGTGGGTAGTCGTTCTGACCTTTCGCTACAGGAACACTTTGCTCAAAAAATGACCGGAAATGCCGTTTCTAACCTTTGACACGTTTCAAGGTCATAGCCATATGGTGATCATATCTCCGCAACAACTGGTGGTAGGTAGAGAGTTAATTGTGGTGTCAATTTGTTCGGAACATTAATGTTTATATTAGGTCTAATAAAAAAGTTTGCTATAAAATGACCGGAAATACTGTTTTAACATTAGACAAATGTCATAGTTATGGAGTCCTTATTATCTCCACAACCACTGGTGGTAGAAAGTTAATTTTGGTGCTAATGTGTTCGGAACTAAAATATGATCGGAAATGCTGTTTATGACCTTTGACATTTTTCCAGGTCATAGCCATAGAGTCCTCATATCCACACAACCACTCTTGGTAGAGTGTTAATTTTGGTACCAATTTGTTCGGAACATTCGTGTTTCTATTTGGAATAATGGAAAAGTTTGCTAAAAATGACCGGAAATGCTGTTCTGGCCTTTGACATGTTTCAATGCATATTCCTATTATATACTGCCTCTATAGTATATATGTAAACATAGGCCCATATAGGCAATATACTGATTTATAAATGATTGATTTTGTTTATACTGTTTGTACTGCGATTTTTGTATTCACTTGTTTAAGATATTAAAGTGTTATTTTTTTTACAATAACGTATATTTTGTTATTTCTTGCAAGTGCTGAAGTTTTCATTTCACGCGAAGTGCAATAGCGTATACTTATAATTGAATATTTTGTTTAGTGACATAATCAATAAAAAAAAGAATACAGATAAAAACAAAAGAACTCAGGGAATGACAATAATGAAGGTGGTGGTTTCATGGGGAAAATTGTGCCAGGCGAAGTGTACAGGAGAGGGGTAATGTGGAATTGAAATTGACGAAATGCAGGATTATAAAATAGCTTTACACTCTTTTTCAATGACTAGTAAACCATTTCTGTTTTCAAACTATAATTTGCTGTTTTATTATAACTAAAACCTTTTTTTTTATTGATTTACAAATTAGTGAATCTTTTTTTTTTTTTATTATGAATAGCGACCCCTTTTTTTTTAATTATGAATAGCGAACCCCTTTTTTAAAAATTATGAATAGCGAACCTCTTTTTTTAAAATTATGAATAGCAAACCTCTTCTTATATTATGACTAGCAAACCTTATAAATAATGGCCCTTTATTTATATTATGAGTAGCGGACCCTTTTTCTTTATTATGACTAGCGAACCTTAACTAGTGACCAACTTTACTTGATTATGACTAGCGAACCTTATGAATAGTAAACCTTATGACTAGCGAGTTTGACCCGTTATGTTTACTTTACAGTATGCTGTATAGATTTTTTTTCAGTGCATTTTAAACACCTTCAAGTTCCTCGAAAGAAAAAATTAAAAGCAAACAAGTTTCTTTGAAATAAATAAATGGTTGTCCCATGTTGTCTTTTGGAGACCACTTTTATCTTTGGTCTTCATTTAGAGGTTTCAGGTTCGGTTAATCTCCAAGTATGCTGCTTGGAGACCACTTTAAGTCTGTGGTCTCTATTTAGACATTTCTAATTTCAGACTGAACCCCGAGACCACCCTAAATTTCAGATACACAGAGTGGTCTCGAATTGGAGGGCGGGCTGTATGCTGCTCTGAAACATAGTAAGGCCGTCGTTTGTGATGGTCCAATCAATTGTGTTGTAGTTTGTAGGCGTTTATCATCCTAATATCTGAATAGGTAGCAGACCTATGCATTATTGTAATCGATTTTAACATACATAATGTCTTTGCATGTATTTAATTATAGCCCTACAACTGGTACATGATGGGTAAATCATACATTTAAATATTTTTATTGACATGTTTTAGTGTGGAGACGAATATGGTGCAGCCGGTCAGGAACCCATACATTAAAAAAAATTAAAAGTAAATGTGCCGCCATGTCGAAGGTATCGTAGTATAGTGCTGGGTACTGTAATACTAAGAGGGGCTCCCGTGGCCTCTATGGGGCTCATTTAGACTTTCGGCGTTTTCACACAAAGCAGACAGGCGTTGCACCAAGCTCCACAGTAAAAGCTGTGTCGTAGTAGGAGGTGCCATTCTAATAAATTTCCAAAAGGTGTGTTTGTGGGGTTTTGGTCTATTTGGTTTTTGAAAATCATAGAAAAAGTTTCCGTATTGTCAAGGTGCTGCAGTAGAGTGCTGGGTAGCACTGTAGTACAAGGAGCCCCCTTGGCCTCTCCGTGGCTGATTTGGACTGGGCCTCAGAAAGCACATGCATTGTCCCACTGCTAATGCCCAGGCGAAATGATCACTTCTTCACCGATAGAGTCCTGTGACCTCTTGGTCTCCGTTGGTGGCATCACTGTACATTAAATGTTTCATTACCAATAAATAGTAACATAAAAAAGTTGTTATAATTGGAATAAAAATTGGATCGTGACCTGGAATAAATACAATAGCAAGCATTTAATTTAGCAAATGCAATATTTGAAATAATTAGATCTGCATCAATATTACCCCCTTGAAAAAATTATTTGGAATCTACAGAAAAGTTGATTGATTTCCTCAATTGCTTGATGTCTTTTTTTAACTTGAGTGTCCAAAAAAACAAGACTATCCATTCAATCCAGGGCTAGTTTATAAAGCATTCATCAATGCTTTTGCAAGTATATACACCTGTAGCACAAACTATTTTTAGGATCTTATTTTCAAGTTTAGTGGTGTATATAAAGGAATAATACAGCATAATGAAAATTTAAAAGAATTCAAATGTATCTAACAGTATACATAATAATTCAATTTCAGGATTTTCCTTCAAATTCTTTCTCATTGACATCATAGTCTTGCATTGCTTTCTGTAAATAAAACCATCGTCCAAGAAAACCGACATCTAAACAGCGGCTGGGCATATCAAACCATCCAACAGACAAATGCTTGCATTTTGCATTGTACAGCGAAACTTCACTCCCATAATTGTTGTACCATATGAAGCTAAAAAATAAAAAATTCTGGCGTTGAATTAAGTTTTTACTTTGGTATTTCAACAACATTTGAACATGGTTATCAGAGTTCGGATTCCTAATTCGGTCGCCAACAAGCAGCAGATCATTAGATGCATTACAGAGTTCTTGACAGAAGGATTCCAGGCTGGGGTTCAAGTGGGCTGCATAGCTGAAAGCAGCAGCAGTTACAATGTACACAGTTGCTTTCACTGGTCTAGCTTTTGCATCACTTACAGTATCCATGGCAACATTTTTGTAATCAGATCCAAGTGCTTTCAAGTATTCACCTGTTTAATTTATAGAAAACAAAAATTAACATTCAAATGGTTAAGGGTTCAGTTTCAGTTTTTTTTATTTACATCAAAATCACAGCCAAGGCTAAATTACATGATATTTACAAAAAAATGTACCGGTATATCAAAACAACAATCAAACACAACAACAAGACATGAAAAATGGAGCTAAAAGTAATATTAAAATACATTAAAATTTGAAACGTCAGAAGTACAAAAATAAATATCAGTCCCAGCTGATCTCAGCCGATTTACCGACTAGTAGTACAAAATTTCCATGACAACTACAGAAACTCCATACTGCAGTTCTTGAGAAGTCTGCAAACTGTACATATTATCAATTGTCTCTCAGACAAGTGGCAACAGGTCTCAACTTGCGCAGCAAAATATAATTATGTGTAAAAAAGCTCATTTTTAAACAGATCTCCCGAATGTGCATTCTTCCAGCTTTGGACCCTTGTTCAGGAAATCTCCCAGCCGATTTACCGCCTAGTTTCAAAGTGGGTCCGATAATCCTGAAAATGGGCAGGATAGTCTGGAAATAGGCACAATCTTCCTCCTGGGCCCGATCGTCTTGTGGGCCCGACCGTCAGACTGTAGGCAATTTCAGGCCATGAATGTAATTGTTTGTATTTGTTGATGTTTGACATTATATACGGAAATAAAATAAATAGCGATAAATTCTAGGCCTACAGCCTATAGGGGCCCCTCTCTAATAGTAATAGTATTATGCCTAGTAGTAGGCCTAATGTAGCCTAGGCCTAAGGTAGGCATACATAGAGTAAACCCTCCTCTAGGCCCAGTTAGTGGCTTTTTTTGTACCAATAAATAAGTGAGTGTTTTTAACAAAACACTCACTTGCAGTTCTATACTCTACTGTTGTTCTATACTGTAGCCACATGGTATCCATGATGCCTGCTGTGTTGGAGTGAATTGTGCGTATTTATATAGAATAGAGATAATTGCATTATGACTGTTATTCATAGATAGGTAAAGTTTCTGCTTGCTATAGATGAATTACATAACTTCTTGTATGCAATTTTTGTTTTGATTTGGTGTTTTTTCCTTTCGACACACCTTTTGAACAAAAAAAAAAAACCCTTCCCTCCCATCCATGGCGGTCCTACTAAATACCACACGGAACCACTCGCGACCACACGGGACCACTCGCGACCACAAGGGTGCAAAAATGATAAAAATATTACCACACGAGAGTAGAAAACTACTTAATAATAAATAGAAACCAACTTTTAGTACGGTAATTATCCAAAATATGGTAAAAATGATTTTTTTTTACAGGTTTTTCCGCCGTGCTTCGGAAGGTAATGCGGTGACATTGAGGTTCTGTAACGCATTCACGGCTCCAGAAACGCGTTCACCATTGACCTCTACAACATTCACCACGTACAGTACAGTACGTTACTTTTCATCCTGCGTGTATGCCTATTGTATGTATAGGCCTATTATTCTACTATAACTGTATTTATTACTTATGTGTTTTTGACTCTTATTATTTTAATTTTAATTTTTTTTTATTTGTATTGATCCTGTAGTTATGTTAGGTTTTAGCCCAGAGACAAATCTAGTTAACTTCTTATGAATAATGTTTTTAAAGATGGTATTTTGAGATGTTTTCTATGAAAATAAATAAATAAATGGCAGTAGTACCGCTTTTTGTGTTTCAATGTTAGTAATGGATATAAATGGTAGATAAATAAGAGCACAACACATCATTTTAGAAAAAATAACAAAGGTTAAAATTAGTGACATTAATACGTTTATTACTAAACGAATATCTCGGTCGTCACTGCAATAAACCTTCTTTAAACACTTTATTAGCATAAACAATAAGGGCTAGGCCTATACATTATAAAATAACAAATGGTTTATATACCGTAGCTGTACAGAGCTGATGCATGCTAATTAGCAGAGATTACTTATACAATATACCTGTCTCAAAATTTGAACTACGTTTTGAAAAATTAGAACTTCATTTTGAAAAACTAGATCTACATTTTGAGAAATTTACGTCTACGTTTTAATAAATTAGACATTGAATTTTGCAATTACATTTTGATTTTAACATTGACTTTTGCTGCGTATGGCACCCCATAGTGGAAAGCTGAGCTTGCTAAGCTAAGCAGGGACAGGGTACTACCTACTGTAGCTAGACAGGGAGCGGGCTACTAGAATAGACAAGGCCGCCGCCAATAATAGGGCCTATGCTAGGCGGGCCTACCTAAAATATGATGGTTTAGGCCTAGGCCTAAGCTAGTATAATTCAGAAGGCAAAATAACTATAAATTCTTAGTAAGGTTCATATATTTTAAAGTTATAAATATAATACATAAACCTACTTAGTTTTTTAAACTGACGTCTGAAAAACCCGGTGGCTTTCGTGGAAGCTGCCATTTTGTCGAAACAACAGAGGGAAGCAGACCCCTCTTCTTTGATATGGCGGTCGCGATATGATGATCCATGCTGAGCTGACCCGACAAATCATTCCCCGGTTGTTGAAGGTGAAATGAAAGGTGACTCAAGCTTGGCCTAGGCTGGCTAGACTAATCATACTGCTGGAAAGTTAGAATGGGCCCTGAGACTCAAAACAAGAAGGACATTTAAAATATGTATTAACATTTTCGAAAACGTGTTATAGTAAAAATCCTAGGTCTTCATTAGGTAGGCCCAAGGCATTTCTTTTTCTGAGACTTCCTCAACTCAAAAACATGGAACGTTTTTTAATGATGACAGAGTGAGAGATTTCATTGACTGAGAGATGGTAGGAATGTCAGCATTTTTCTGCCAAGTCGGTGGCATACTGCTTATTATAATTTTGACTGCTGATTATGGCTTATGTACGTATAACTATTTCCCATTTCTCACTAGGCCTAGATGTGAGCTGCTACTACCAGTAATTAGGCTAGGCGCCAGCCTACCTAGGCCTATCCTAGACCTAGGCCTAGTCAGAGTGTAGCCTACGATTCGCCTAGCCTAGGCGTATCGTATGCCTAGTTGAAGGTAGTCGTCCTACTAGGCCTAGGCTTTACTAATTTCTATCGACATTGTTCACTAATTTTGATTAGGACCTAGGCCTACAGTATGTAGGCCTATGTGAATTTATCAAACTTCAGCAATAATTCTGTTGTATTAGGCCTATATTGTCAATAAGGTTTCCCGCCCCTTTCCTTCTTTGATGATAAAAGTTGTTTTTTTTTAAATCATTTTTATCATTAAGGAGTCTTGGTCATTTAGTCTGGGTGGCTAAACAATACTTTCTATTAATTAGGAGGACGAAACACCCTGGTTAATGATGGAGGCCTCCTTGACAAGACCTTGATTCTAACTAGGAATTTTATTTTTGGATGAATGCACTTTGTTGACACATCACCAAAATGTCAGGCCGACAGGACATTTCGCTGACAATGAATTCATTGACAGCCTTTTCCCAGACACTTTAGTTTTAAAATTGTGACAAGATCTTGACATACAATTTGTCTGGTGGGCCTAGGCATAATTGAAAACAAGAACATTTACCGTATGCTTTTACAATCAACAATCATCCACACAACATGAACCGAAGTCAAGTGCTGATTTCATGTGAAACAAACTCCAACAATTTTCACAAACACGCTGTCGGCAAAATTTGATTTCCTGTCAGGGAAATGCCCTTTTGTCCGCAGTGGTGCCTGTCAAAGAATGTCTGATGTAATTCAGCCAAAAAGCGCCTTTTTTACAATTTAAAAAGTTGTTGGCAAATTAGGTGTAGGTGAATTGACAGTCATGGAATTGGATGTTTGTGAACTGTCTGTCGGCAATTTGGCTGTTTCCAAATTGGCCATCGGCGAAATGTAGTGTCAGTGAAATGTAGTGTCGGCGAAATAACGTCGAAAGTCCATTCAGCCATTCGCGAATTAGCATTCGGCGAAACATCCTGTCTTATTAGACTATAGATTATTATATTGAGGCAGACGGCACATTTGAAAAAAAAATGATCATTAATATTTGGAGCAAAAATTGACCTGTATTCTTAGAAAAATAAAAGTAAGACTAAAGTATATGATAATATATTAATAAATTGGAGAAGATTAATAATTATATAATTACTGAATGGTGTGATTAATGCCTTGGTAGTATTATTTGTTTTAATAAACTTTTTTTCTAATTTCCATGTTTGTAATTTATTACATGGCTACCTTAAAAGTAATATGATCTGAATGTTTACACAATTTGGGTACCTCTATGGTTAAGTATACGCAAAATAACTTTTATCACATGTTAATATTTACATAATACTGAACTATACTTCACCAATTGTAAATTTAATAATAATCTACAATGTAAGCACCATAAAATTCCAGGGCCTGGGGCAATAGGGTTAAAATCTAGATATTAACACTACCATAAGTAATTCATGGCTATTCAATTGTTTTCTTGCACTGCAGGTTCCCATAGCAATCTGTACACACTTATGTACCAAGAGAAGAGACTAAGTAGCTATGACAACTATCACAATACTGCAATCTTTCGCTTTCCAGTTCAATCTGAGGTTAAGGTTACATACATGAACTTTACACAGATTAGGAATGATGTGAAGTGCAAGTTTGTTAACCTTACAGTGTAAGTAGTTTGACCCGACAAGATCAGTGGTGGCGTCAGGCAGGGTGTTCCATTGCATACAAAGTAAATTGTACATATGTGTGTTTCATATATCTGACTTTTAATGTTAATTTAACCAACAGAGCCGTACATCAGGGCAGTTATCCAGTTATCAATCCTGATGGATCATCGTTTCCTGATAACACTGTCCTACGTCCAACAGTACTCGGTGAACAGACCATGAGGTCAAATATGACACTAATATTTGATAACCCCAACCCTGGTTACTGGTTCCTAGGGGCATACATTTCAAACAACAATGATAGGATCACACAGAAGGTAAGAAATCCATTGTACCTCGTAATTATAGACGACATAATAAAAAAAAAAATATTCGATTATATTTCATACATAATTTTATAATGAGATTTGGATTATGTCCGCATGGTGGTGGGTGATTTCTGTCTGTTTTGAATTCCTAGTAAATGTGTGATTTTTTACAGTTTATAGAATAATGCTCATGTTATTATAAATCAAGATGATTTGTAAGAAAAAAGTTTTCAAATTAAAGCTTTTGTATATTCCATTTTGTTTGGGTTATAAACCAAGTTGTCATTTTGATGATGATAATCTGGATTTATACATCAGCTCACATTAAACATTAGCGTATCCATGGGGGTTGCTTGCGCCCTCCCAGGGTAATACTCCGCTAGAAATTTGCTTAGCTCGAGTCATCGATGATGATGAATATTGTGGATGGTGTTTTTAAAAAATAAATTTTAGGTAATTTATGCTTTTTTACTAATAATCTTTTTTCTTAAATTTTTACTTAAAGGGGCTGGGAAAAGACTGTAATTATAGACTTTTAGTACAAATGTTGAATATTCATGAAGTGGATATCACAATGCTCATTGACTCGGTTCTTGTTGAAGATTCTTTAGATGACACACATAACGTAACAATGTTCAGGTACGTTGAGTAGAACCTGGGTGCAAGGTGAAAATCTTCTCATGATGAATAGAAAATCCACTCCTAAGCCTGATGTAGGATATCATTAGCTTTCACATGTGGCGAAGACAAGACAAACCAGTCACTCCTTGCAAATCGTGTTTCGGAGATAATTGCTGAAACATGCTGGAATTTCAATATTTTTTAAATATATTTTATTGCACTTTTAAAATTGATTATGCTATGTTGTTATTTTCCCCCATTTTCAATGCTAAAACAACATTTTTTGACGATTTTGTAATGGTCTTTGTCTGAGAAATGGCCAAAATTGAAACTTTAAAGGCTGATTTCTCAAATACTGGTCTTTAACACGTTCGCTGCCAGTGACGAGTATACTCCTCCCACGAGGTGTTGCTGAGAGCGCTAGGGAAGACTCGTCAAAACTGGGGTAATATTCTAGCGTTTATTACCTTATTGCTATGCATTGTACCACAGATTTAATAGCTGATAGTTAGGGGAAGATACACCTAGACAATAACAAACAAATAACATGTGTATGTTTGTTGTGTTATGTTGCTGACAGGTACAAAAGATTGCACGAGTAGGGGTATCCTCTGAACATATACCAACCCATGCAAAAAGTGGACGAGAAACCTCTCACTTGGCAAAGGCAATAGAAATTACTGTCCCATTGCCAGAGACGAGTTTACTCGTCCTAATATTTTCCTGCCAATTTATTAGACACAGCACTTTGATGATATGTGACTTGATGACATTTCAAGAAAGTATGTTTGTACTTGTATAATTGTTTTGGCACATGTGAGAAAACCTTAAAACACACGTCATGCAATCTTGAATCTTGAATCGTATCTAAGGAAAGAAGAGCTTAGATTGGTACCAGATGAAATAATTTTGTTATCAACATTAATACATTATGCTAATTTTCATCTTTTTAAGTGCATAAGACATTGCAACTTATTTCTGTGACAGTCTTTTGTGTAAAGATTAAAGCTCCATTTTATCCCATACATAGTCAAAATTTTGGGGGGATGATACAATGGACCATCCCCCCCCCCCTTGTCAAATATTGGGGTATATATTCCCCCATCCCCGGGATCTACGCCTGTGTAAAAAGCCAACAAAACGCTTATCCAAGGAGTCCTGTGCTGCGCTAACGTGCCCCAATCAACATGTTAAACAGAGCTGTATGTTTAAACTCCTGTAACCTCAAATATAGAAATGTCAGATTTAAATGTTTCCTTTATCATTTCATAACTTCATTTTACTGCTTAACACGTTGGCTGCCAGCAACGTGTATACTCGCCAACGGGGTGTTGCTGAGGGCGCCAGGGACGAGTATACTCGTCAAAATTGGGGTAACATTCTAGTGTTTATAACCTCTTTATAATACATTGTAGAATCACAGACTCAATGGCTGGTAGTTTGGGGAAGATACACCTAGACGATAAAGTACAAATGATGCATGTATGTTTGTTGTATTATGTGGCCAGTAGTACACTTGAGCGGGGGGGCGCCCTTTGAACATATACAGTACCAACCCATGTAAAAGCGGATGAGATAACTCGCACTTGGCATAGTCAGTAGAAAGTTCTATCACAGTGCCATCGACGAGTATACTCGCCCCTAATATTTTCCCGCCAATTTATTAGACACATCATTTTGATGATATCTGACTAGTTAAAATTTCAAAAAAGTATGTTTGTACATGTAAACTTTATTTTTGGCACCTGGGAAGGAACCTTAAAAAAAGGTCTGGCAGTCAACGTGTTTTAACCTTATAAAAAATAATATTATATTAAAATTGATTTTTGCATGGAGAGACTGGTTGGGCTTGTCTTTGCCACATATGGTTGTGATACTTAAGACCGGTGGAGTCAAGGAGAGGCCAAGCCAGCCTAGCACCACCCTTGAAAGAATTACATTCATTTAAAGTTTGAGAGTACCATTTCTGGCCATTTAAATGAAGTTTATGAGTAAATCTAATGACTACAAAAGAAATGCCTATGTTGCAAACATCATCATAGGTATTCCTGACAGGTATATATTAATATCCTGCTAATTCATTTGTGTGGTGCACAGTGGCTCCACCAGGGTGATGGAACTTGTAAGGGGGGAAGGCTGAGGACAATATGTTTGGGAGACATTACTCTCCCAATGTGGTGGGTTTCCCTGGTAGTACTTCAGGAATAAGCTCATGAATACCCTATGTAACTATACAGAATGAAAAATTCCTTCCGAGGTGGAGTAATTAGCTTGGCTTTTTTCTTTATCATCGTATTGTTTTTATTATCTTTTCTTGGCTGTATAATGTACTGGTATAAATTGAGAAGAATCATGTCACTGTTAATTCATTCATTTCCGCTTAGATATTTTGTGCCACCGGGTGTTGGAAGCTTCAAGTTCATCATCAGTGGTTGTCATGTAAAACACCTGGATGGCAAAATTAATGAAGAGTGTCCCCTGAACATAACAGCCCGTGCAAATGCATTGCCCATGAACGACGGATATGTAACTTGTAATGCAACTAGAGATGATAGTGGTTTCAACTGCATGATTGAAGAGCAACATTCTGAGACAAAGGTGTGGTACTATTTGCTAGTGCAGGTGACAGAGCCTCTATTGCTCAATAAAACTGTGCAGTTTAATGTTACTGTACAGGCTACAGGTAAGCCCAAAATACATCTATTTACCTGCTACTTGATTTGATATTTCATAGCACTTTTCCTTGTGGTGGCAAAGAACTACTCTCCACTTACAGGTTCATCCTGAATGTAGCTCACACAAACTAAAACCAAACAGAGCATATGTGGCAAAGACAAGCCAAACCAGTCACTTGTCGCAAAAATCAATTTTTAGTTAGTAATACAATGTTAAACAGCAAAATGAGAGCTATAAAATGGTGAAAGAATTATTTAAATCTGACTTAATAATTTCATTATTAAGTTACAGGAGTTTAAGCATAGAGCTGTTTTAAGAAGAATATCTGTGAAATCAGTCTTCAAAGTTTACAATTTCTGGCATTTTCAGGCAGAAACCATCAACAGATCGATAAAAAATTGCTGTTTTAACATTAAATATGGGGAAAATAACAACATAGAATGATGTATAAGGTTAGTTTAGTGCAATAAAATAAATTTTTTTTTAAATGTTGATATTCCAGCATGAAGGCCATAATCTCTGAAACAGGATTTGCGACGAGTGACTAGTTTGGCTTGTCTTTGCCAAATATTGTGTTCATTCAAGTAAACAAAGGTCAATAAATAATAATTAAAGAAGATGAGTACAGTAATCATAATAATTTTTTAGGAATATAAAATGTCTGTAATATACAGTATTTGTTTAATCTGTTTCTGGTTTGAAGTTGATTAAACTTTACTGACATTTAATTCAAACTCAGATTTTATTTTCAGATGATCATGAATACAAACAAGCAATTTTGCCTTTTCTTTGAATTTTGAGGTTTTCCCTCAGTGTTTTTTTTTTTTTTTTTTTTTTTTTTTTTTTTTTTTTTTCCCCTCTGTGTTTTTTTTTTTTTTTTTTTTTTTTTTTTTTTTTTTTTTGGCAGGTAGTATATCATTTCTTGTTTTTTAAAATTTTCTTCCAGGATGTGAAAATAATAAATATTACCTTTCAAAAGAGGATGAAAATGACTGGACAACTGGTACCAGCCATGGATATAGTTCACCAGGGAGACATGCAATTAGAGATATTATGGAATTGTACCTTTACAATGTTCAGTATGATGTATCAGGCTCTGGTATGGACACAGGTGATAACCTCATGCAATGTCCAGAGATTATTGAGTTGGAGGCTCATGATATGACAACCATATTCAGCGTTGCGTACTATGGATCAACTGGGAATGCCACAAATATTTTTCAGATCAGCCCGAGTAAACCAATCATCACTTCATTGGACATAAGATCTTTTATTGATATTGGTGGAACTCTAAAAATTTTTGCAAGTGTGTTTGAGGTAAGAGGATATACACCATTTGAGCCAAGTTTGAAATGAAAATTTTTGATAACCAGGCACAGTGGCAACCACCATTGAAGGGACTTCTTGAGGCCTAGCATTTCACTCTACGTAGTTACTATCATGGAATAATTAAACGATAAAACCAAATTACTAATGAGCATGAATATTTTAAAACGAAACAAGAACGAAATGTTCATACTGTATTAAAAACATGTCTAAGCTTTTTCAGATTTACATATACAGTAATTAGCGTGATTGTATGTGTTGTCTACTGTAGCAAAAATCTAGCAGCGTTATCCGCTGTGCAGTGCTGCACCCGTAACTAGCCAGCTGCTCAAGCTAGGCCGCTGGAAGTCCCCCAGTGAGTTGTGAGATGTTGGCGGCACTGTTTCAAAGTAATCCCGATAAAATGGTCTATCAGTGTTTTTATTTCATGCATCTATTAATTTTATTTTAATGCATTTACAATCCTAGGTGCATTCGACTCTAGTAAATACCACCATTTTTCTTAATGACTTTCTAAATTAGTCATGCACATATAGTCATATTGTTTCTTATCGTCATGACCCACATTCACCAGGTGTAGGAAAATAAGCTCCTTGAAAAAAAGCTACCTGATAATGGGGCTATACCATTTTGACAATAGGGGTTAATGTATGCAGAGCAATAGAGAAAGTATGCAAAGGAAAATTTGATTAGGCTTTTAGAATTTCACTCTTACATGCATCTATCTTCTGAACTTTATGCATATGGCATCTCCAAATGCTTAGAAATGTATTTTCAAATCCTCATTCAAATTTTGCATGAAATCTGTCAACCACGCTGTCATGGTCAAGGTTGCTTAACCTATCACGATGTATTCCAACCATCATGAGGCTGTCTCAATGAGCAATTTGTCATAACAGAACACAAATTATTTTTAATTAGTCTCATTGAATTATTATTATAATAATAATTATTATTATTATTATTGTTTATTATTAATTATTATTATTATTATTGTTATTGTTGTTGTGATGAAAAGTTAACACAAACAATATGGTGGCTAAACGAATATTACATGTAAGTATTTTTTTTTTTATTTGTTTGTCCCCCGACAAAATTTATCGTCTTCCCTGATGGGGGGATTGGGGCCTATGGCCCATGTCGACCCGGGGGGGGGGGGGGGGGGAGCTATAGCACCCCAGCCCCCTCTGGCACCACCACTGATACTTGATAACCTATTAAATTTTTTGGATGTGAATAAATAAACTAAAATATATGTTGTATTGTTTTTGTAGGTCTTTTTAATGTTCTTATCGGATTTTGTAATTTTTGCCTTGCATTTCTGTGATCCAGAATTGACCTAGGCATGTAAATGTTTTTTCTCCTTTATTCCACTCTGTATAATTTTTTTGTCTTAATGAATAAAGTGATTTTATATATAAACCAAATCATGAAAAAAGAACATGCTTGTCAATCCGGTTCAAATTAAAATGTCAAAATCATCCTTTTTTTTACCAGGTGAATGATACAGAATCTGTATCCATAATTTTGTGTGTACAAAGAGATAGAATACCATCAATGACTTCAGATGGTAGAATGGAATGTCTCATTGAGAATGAGTTACAATTAAATGATACGGATGTTGGAGGCAAGGAGTGGTTTATTCCATTTCCTGAAGCAGGATCCTGGTATATAGCTGCATCAGCACAATGTTCTAAGGAGTAAGTCATTCATTTGTGGAAAAAAAAATACATTATAGTTATAGGCTTTTTGCATAACGCATTACATTAAAATAACATTGCACATCAAATATAAACACATAATATATAAAATTAATAATGTTATAGTATAACATTATTAATTTTATATATTATGGATTAAAATCCAAAGTTTGCAAATTAGGGTATAACTTATACCCTAAACCACAATTTGTGGGGGGAGAAAAAAAATATATGTATTTTGCACATATTAGTAGACTCTAGAATCGATTAAATAAGCCTTTGAAACCCCTAAATTGTCAAAATTTTTGGGAGCTTTGCCCCCTGGACCACTTTCGAAACATTTTAAGCGCCACTCAACCACCCCCACTTTGCTCTTGTCAGGGGAAATCCTTCCCCGCATCGGGGACCTCCCCCTCCCCCCTCAGGCAAATCCTGGCGCCATTCCTGCGTCAAACCCAAACCGCAAAATATCAAAAATTTACAAATCAAAAACACTGGCAAGGTCAAGGGCAATCATAACCCTGCCAAACAAAGAAGATATATAAGATATATAAGCCTCCAACGAATCTATGTGAATTATTACACCTTACACTGTATAACATATTAAGTATGAAGCACAATCCAATAAACATTTAAATAACCTTCATTAAATGTATTAATGTTACAACAGGTATAATAGTCATTAACAGACAACTATACATGTATCATTGAATTGGCATACGTTCTCATAGACTTGCCACAAGTCTCTTTTTTATTATTTTTCTCATTCTGGACAGCGCCACCAATGAAAAAGTTAATTTAGAGACGGAATAAGAGACTTGTAAAACACTGAATGCAGGCACCAGGCTGCCAAAGAATGACGTAATTATATTATTCCGTATTTGGATAAATGGGCGGACCGAAATAAACAATTTCAACCAATTAAATGTTCATATTTTTGGAGCCACGAGTTAAGCGTGACTAGAAATTAATAGTCCTCCCTAATAAAACAGGCCTAAAATATTTAGAATAGACCCTAGTAAGACTAATTTTGGCAATGGCAAAAACAATTAAGCTTAGACTAGATGACATACCATTACAAATACAGCAACACAACTTTCCAGGAGGATAAGGCTCAGGCCTCTGGAGTCAGAAGTAGGCCTAGCCTAGTAGAGGCTTGGCTTGTTTTTAAGTTCTTACTTGCAGAGTCCTACCTTTTTAGCAATATTTTACCCTAAAGGCCTAAATCTGTGTAGCAGCTAGCAGTGAGCAAGGTTCTGTAAGTATAGCCAGCTACTACAGTTATTAGTCCATAGTTGTTCTCAGCAAGCCAGAACTACTGTATATACTAACTGTTTTAATTCAAGTAGGTAGGCAGAAGCGAGCTGGTTAGCTTGTCCTAGTTGAGACATCCGCATCTTCAATTTTGAAAATTTACCAAGATTAATTAACATGCCGAAAGGTCCACTGATTAATCTCAGATAAGAAAGTATAATACATACTCCAAGTATTGAAATACACGCCATCGTGTTGGGATTCAATATTTCGACATTAATTATGTCATCATCAAGAATGATGCATGAAGTAAGCCAATCACGTGATTTACAAAATCAGTCATGCATACGATATCCCACATCGAATTTGATGTGAGAAATCGTACGCATGAATCGTTTGCCCAGGCCCTAATCCGAAAAAAAAAGAAATTGAGTATGGGACGCCAATTAAATTAGGTATGGCGCGCAAGTGCAATAAAGAGTGGGTAACCCGAAATTAGGGCCTGGAACCCAGGCTAATGTTCTCAGAATATGTTATTGATATGAATATGTAAACCATTTTTCCCCTTTTAAATCAACACCATATCACATTATCTTGCATAACCATCGCATAATAAATCACAATTATTTGATTGTATTTATACTACAATATCACAATTCAATGAAATCGGCCATCTTGATTTACAGGTTAACAGTAACGATGCAAAGGTACTCAATCTACCAAGCCTTACACTTTATCGACTAATCCGCGATCATATTGTATTTCACTGTACTTCACAACAACAAACAAACAAACAAACATGTTCATTCTTAAATATAAACGCACAGTATTAAAATATTAACTAATTAACACAGGTAATCACTGATAAAGTAGTGCACACCCATGAACAATGCGATATTCCTACATTATAACAATTTCATATTGATTGTAACAAGCATGAATAACATTACTACTGTATGTTGTTACAATAACGGCTCAAAATGATCAAACTGAAAGAAATCAAGACTTGTGATATTTGAAATTAATACATTTATTTACAACAATACTGTAATTAAAGAAATACACAAAACAAATTTAGTAATTGGTGATGGTCAGAGCTAAAGCAACAACTTAAATACGTTACTTACAGATAATAGTAAATGCATCTCAAAGTGCAGGGAAAACTGAAGTCAGACAAAATAGTAGAAATCCAGTCCATAAATACATTGAGTTGTCTTCACTGGAAATCCAAAATTACAACTAAAACTACTTGGGTAGAAACTCTTAAGAAAAAGGGTGTTTAACTTTGCATATTCAGGGTCCTGTCCAATCAGGTCCAATCAGGACCACATAGCAACAGGTTAATTAAACAATCAGCCAATTATGGGCTAGAATGAAGTGTCACATAGATACATAATTAATTAACACAGACCAACTGAAATATTTTTCACATGATTAGAAACCACATTCAAATTCCATAGATTAAAAAAAAAAAACAACTAAGTGCAGTTCCATGGTGGTCATTATAAGTTGACCACAGCTTCTGAAACTTTGTTTTCAATAACATGCTGTACAGGGTAACTGTTTCTTTGTAATATATTGTGGTAAAGCAAATTAAAATTCAGGAAGATTACTTCCTCTGAAAAGTTAAATAAAAGTAGTGAAATTATCATACATGAAATTAATATAAAGAAATTAAGTAAAAATGGCCAAGGATATAACAATATTTTATATTTTTATTATTATACTAATTATAAAAAATGGTTTTCAGTACAAAATATACACCTATCTTAACTCAGTTAACCGTTCTATTGGATCACTCAGTCACACACCTCTGTCCATACGTATGTACAGTACGTTCTACAGCTATATCACGCATGATGAATATTTTACATCTTAAAAATTTGAATCCCACATTTCTACAGAATGGAGTAGTGATTTTGTAATTATTATGCTACCCGATCTAGTGCCCTCAGTGTTTCCTTTGATACTGTAACGGCAATATTGGTTCTTGGGTATAATTGATCTTCCTAAAAGGCCATGATTCTGTTTGATTTTCAGTAATGTTGTGTATGAAGATTGTGGTACTGACATACTTATGGAAATGAAAGTTCATTTAACCCCCTGCATCAAAGGCTGTGGCAAATATGGCAATTGTTATGTTAGCTATGATGCTGGTCTCTCTTATGCTTACTGTGCCTGCAAGTATGGTAAGCATTTTAATAACATAATTATTAGTTGAATAATGTATTTGAAATTATAGATGACATAATGGAGAGTTCATCATGTAGCAAGGGCAGTGGTGACACAATGGGGAAATAAACTTTCTTCCCCTCCCCCCACCCAAAAAAAGAAAACCATCGGGGAGAAAAAAATTGTTATGTATTTTCCACATATTAGTAGACTATCTACCTATAAAATTGATTAAATAAGCCTCTGCAACCCCTAAATTGTCATATTTTTCGAGGGCTTTGCCCCTGGACCGCTTGCGAGGCATTTTGAATGACACACGACCACACACAACTCGGGCCATCCCAGCATATTTCCTCCCTAAAATTTTACCTACCCCTCACTTGCCCCCTCCCCCCAGATTTCAGATGCTGAAATGTTGCCAGAATTGTTTTTATACAAATTTTCATCATCTCATTGAAAAACTACATTGTCAAATATTTCAAAACATTGAGTATTTGAAATTTGTTAATGCAGTCTTTTCAGTTATTTGTTTTTGGTAAAGAGGTTTTCCACTCCTTGGCTACTTCATGGGCGAAAATACTTTACTAGCATGGGGCCCCCAACATTTCTCACCCCTGGGCTCCATGACTCGTTGCACCACTGAGATATAGTCTATTTTTTTTTAAAGAATAGGCACCTGCTGAAAATAGCGCTGTATAAATGCATAGATTATAGGCACCTCTTGTGCTTGAAAATGGCCCTTTCAGACTTCAATAATGCTTTTCCATTGAAGTATTCTGTAAGTAAAGGATTGGCTTCTTCCTCAATGGGGGGGTCCAGGGTTCGTTGGCAGAGATCCTGTACCATATGGATACCCTGCTGATGCTTGCACTGTCTTTTAAGAGTTAAAGAGAGTTATAAACTAAAAATAAAACAGTACTGTATGTCTCAATACTTGTGATATCTTAAGTCTCATTAAGGTCGTATTTATTTTTTTTTTTTCAGGTATAAAAATACATTTACAACGAACATCTGAAATTGTAAACATTCAATAAAAAAAATATTATATAAGATATATTACAGTATATATAAAAATCTAAAAAAAAAAAAACCAGTTATAACATTTTGAAATTACACAATTAAAAGCTCAAGGCTTAAAAACACACTGATGATCTCTCATATGCATACTGTGCCTAATTGTATATTAAATGTTAGGCCACTCTTCTTGATGGGTACCTAAGGTTGATTACATGACCTTGTTGCAGGTTACCGTGGCTGGGGCTGTACCGATGACTCAGAGGCATGGTCAAGAACTTACTTCTTGGTGCAGGTCTTGCTGTTGACCCTTAGCAACCTCTTTTTCATTCCATCAATTATCCTGGCTGTGTACAGAAGATTCTTTCCAGAGGCCATAGTCTATTTTTGCACCATGTTCTTCTCCACTGTGAGTAAACACCAGATGAAAGTGATGACAGTTCGAATGAAGTTGTCATTATTGGTAGTGTCAGTGATGTCATGGAGCCAATGACCTGAGTACAGTATGTCAAAGATGTTAATTGTGCCAATACTGCTGCTGTTGTGTCAACAATAATGATGATGTTAGTTAATATGTGGGGTCCCAAGGCTCCCATTAATTGTGTGAGTCTCCCACACTCCAGCGAGTAAAGCAGAAATTTCCAGAAATTTACCCAACTCATGCAAATCTATCATGTTTGTAGGTTTTTACTACCATATTAGGGAGTTTTCGCAAGCTTACGGAAACGATGAATATGGTTACGTCATCAAATTTTCAGACAACCCTTCCCCTACAGTAGTGTATCTGCCACATTGTAGGCAATTCATATCTTTTGCATGAATCAAGGATCATATGAGGCATGTTGTGCCAAAATGGCTAAGTTGTAGCAAAAATTGAAATTCAAGTCATTGGTATTTTCAGATACCTGAGAATATGATCTTTAAAATGAGGGGTCATTCAATGAAATTATACATTTCAAGCTTAGTTATTGGAAAATGAAAGTACAGCACTCTTAGAGTCAAGAGAAACATGATTTTGAGTAACTGCCTTAAAAACCTATTTGTGCATACACTGTTTAATAGAATTAACTATCTATCTTTCAGAACTAATACTTTGGGACATAATTAATAAGACATTAAACTGTTGATTTATAGTGAAAGAAAAATTTGGATTTTTAGGAAATTTTTTGGGCTCCCATATTTTATAGCTCATTTACTCAATACTGGTCTGTGCGACAACTTAACCATTTCGCCATGACATGCCTCATATTGTCAAGGATGTTTTAGGTACGAATGACATATTTGTTTTCGTTATCGTTTTCGTACGGTTGTGAAATCTCCCTATTATTCACTCATTGTCTCTCTTAAAGTCAGTAGGCCTATCAGTATCACCATGCACAAACAAGATACTGTAAAACCTCGAATTGAAGCCCAGTGGGCTTAATCTCGAGATGAAACCCATCTTGAATTGAAGCCCCCTTTTTAGTTTGCAAGAGTAGCCTTGAGAAGAAGCCCATCTCGAAAAGATAGAGTTCGCTTCTATTTGAGATATTACAGTACAAACACTGTACATGAATTTCAGAAAACAAAATAAATAAAAAACAAGCTTGGTTTTATACAGTAGTTTAGGTGATTTAATGACATTTAAATACACTTCATGATATAAATTGATGTTACTTATTTATTGTTTTATACTATAGCACAAATTCACAAAATTTACAGCATTCATTTTGAAAAGAAGCCCCCATCTTTACTTTGCAAAAGAAGCCCATCTTGAAAAGATGCCCATCTAAAGTTCGCAAAAAAAGAGAAGCCCAGGGCTTCAATTCAATGTTTTATAGTACTGTAGAATTAGATTTTCCAAAAGAGGTGTCAACCAGCTTGGTACCTCTGTTGGTGTTATAATGCCATTAATGTTGATAACGATACGGCAGTGTGAGGCAATGACACTGATGGTAATACAGATATCAATAGCAAATACTCAAGATATTTGAGTAATTGTCTGTGTTTCTTCTATCTAGTTTTACCACGCTTGTGATTCCAGTGATTACTGCATCATGAAGTACGACACACTCCAATTCTGTGATTTCTTTTCTTCATTTATGGCCATCTTCTGTACGCTCCTCTGTATGGCTAAACTGCCAGAGCACATCAAGCAGACATTTACAATGCTAGGTGAGTTCAAGCTTTTATTGGCCATTCCATAGATTATACACTAACCACAAGTCACTACATCCTAACAGCTCAATGGAATACCAACATTATTACAGCCAATCACAGAATAGAGAGCTCAGCATATGAACATGTTCAACACATATAGGAGGATGAATAAAACTCAATCTTAGTTAAGTGAACATTGGGAACTATGATGATGTTAATGTAAATGTTTGTAAATGATGTTAAAATATATTTAAATATTGTCAAAGAAATGATGATGATGTATGTATTTTCTGAGCTTCATTTATTTATTATTAACATTTAACATAAAAACAACTGTTGTACATTTGATTACCTACTGTATTGAAACAAAAAAGATCATCATACATAGAGGATTAGTAATATTATTCTTTAATTTTTAAAGATTGGAGAGCCACTTAGTAATTTATTTTAATTTTTGGCAATCCCGCCGGCTCTTGGGGGAAACATGTGACTACGTTTTCATAGATTTTATTGTATATGAACAAAGCGAAAATAAATGAAATGAAATGAAAAAGATCTTTTGAAGATCTGAAATATTCATAACAAACATGTTTCTGTGTGAACTTGAAAAACATCAGATCATTTTTTTTTTTGCTTTCTATGAACTATGGCATAAACAATTCACTTTCAACCCACTTTAAATATTGTTCTTTTGTTCCTCCTTTAAAAAATACCTAATAACTCGTATACATCAATAATTATGCACACCTTATTGATACTGTACACCAATCACTTCAATTTAAATGTAATAATGTAACCTATATAACAGTAAAAATTACAAATCATTTGAATACAGGCATTTTATGTATTTCAGCTGCTTTCGGAATCGCCATAGGAGTCGACTACAACAGGTTCAGTTTGTGGGCTGCCCTCGTTCCAACATTGTCGGGATTGGTAATACTAACAGTATCATGGGTGAGTGTACTACTCTAGGTAATTAATATTAATGAGCATTTCAGCAATTTTGCATGCTTCATTCAGAAGTGTTATCTATATCATAGTGCAAATGGAAAGAATATTAATATTATAAATATTATTTCATGAATTTAAAGATGGTCTGTTCCATTCAAATCAGCTCCACCTTGTTGAATGGAACAGTGCATCTTTCAACTCCTAAAAATATTCTTTTCATTGCACAAGTAAAAAAAAATTATGTGTGTAATACGAAATATGACAAATCCGTCTTCCTTTTACAGAGTTATCAGTGTCGAAAAAATAAGTCATGTTACCCATCTAAAAAGCTGTGGTTGATCAGAATTCTGCCGGGCCTTACTCTAGCTGGTGTTGGGTTCTTGTTGTTTGCTCTTCTGGAGAAAGAGGACAACTACCAGTATGTTCATAGCGTATGGCATGTGTGTATGGCAGTTGGAATTCTGTTTCTACTGCCGTCAAAAACCTCAAAAAACGATGAGCACGAGTTCCACATGGCTGAGCTGATGGACATCTCGACAATTCATGCCGAGCTGGTTGAAAATGAATCTCCAGATTACTGAATCATTAATAAAAATCACAGATGGATAAGGTTAAAATAGGAATATGTCCTGTTTCAACCAAACCATCTGTCACTCAATGTATTTTGTTAGTAAAATAGTAAATGCTATTGCATAATATATCCATGGTTAAAGGTAACAAATTTATTAATGTTAACAATCTGGCCTTTTCAATTACCATACTTGATATTTTTTACTTTTCCTTAGGGTTTTGCAATAAAATAAGAGAGACTGACATTTTGAGATTTTGGGTTGGTTGTACTGGGCAAGACATCTTTTTTTTGGCGTTATTATGCAGTGAAGATATTGCTGCTACTAGTACAGCATCAACATATCCATCCAATACATTACATGATATACTGTCTCCTAAACTATGAAGGGTGCTAGTGTGTTAGAGTATATGAAGGTAAAATAGAAGGCGATATGGTCTTCGTAGGCCTATCAATGTGTTTAATTTTACTCTGAAACCAGAGCCCTGTAGACGTCAGCGTTCCTATGCCAGTGGCGTATCTAGCAGTATTAAAATGGGGGGCGCGACCAAAATATGAGGGGGCGTGGAATTTATTTTCGGTGGCCACGCCCACTGAAAAATATTGCTTCTTAGATTCCCGAATACACGTTAACCGTGACAGCATAAGCCTAGCCTATTTTTTTTTGCTTCAAAGTTTTTTCGAATGGGAGGGCCGCAAGCTTTTTGTGGGGGGTGTGCCCCCCCTCCCTTGGATACGCCACTGTCCTATGCATGATGCATGTTTTATTTTCAGGCAATATGAGGTTGGGTGGATTTTGTGTTGTGGTGGTTTACCTTGAAAAGTTAATTCTTTGAATTTGAATATTGGGAAATTCAATACTATACTTACACATCAGGTATAGGCCTAAATAAATGCTTCGCTATCTCCCCACCGCCCCTAGCAGGATGTGCTATTATACACGCCTCCAGCAGCATGCAGCAGCCCACCCTGTTGTCTCATTTGCGGGTAAAAAGTTGTCCTTATGACATGTGGCGCCCTATAGAGATATCGAAGTCGCTTATTTTCATAGAGCTATTAAACAACTAGAGTGCTGACAAGATGGCGCAGCAATGAAGAGTTAAATATGTGTACCATCCAATATAGCCGCCAAAGGAAAGCGCCACCTTCAGTCTTGGTATACATATTATTACCCATAAATAAGCCCTCTGACTATTATTTCAGTAATGATAATTATTATTGATAATAACAAATTATTTAACTATCGTAGCCAAAAAGAGGCCAAGTAGAACATCTTATTAAAAAATATTTAAAAAAATTAAAATCGTGTACATTACACCCATACACCGCAACGCTCGAGTTTAAAACATACGGGTAACTCTGTACTGAACTTTCTGTGTAAATTGAGGGCGCCGTTGAAAATGATAGTGCTTAGGCGAAATTTGATTGGCTGAATCTATGGCAGCCATCTTGGATGGTACACACACGGCTCTGCGTATTTCGAACATGGAATACATTGCAGTTAGCGCTCTAGTATTCTTATATATTTTAGCATTCATTAATCGCCCAGTCTGGACATCTCGCTAGTTACACCATGGATTAACGTACGCACGGCGTTAGATACGCCTGGCGTATCTCACAGGTCTGAACGTAGCCTTAATCTGATCAAGCAAGGCAATTCAACAGAAGGACGCACATCTCGAAACATCAAAGGTTATAACTCTGGCATCGACATTCTAGGCGTACATGCGTCCCTACACGCTGAACGTCACAAAAACCATAGCAACCCGACCATAAACCGTCAGCGTATGTGATGAATTACCCACGTGCATGTTAGTTGCCATGATAACTGCGCGTCGTGCGGCGGATTACAAAGGACTAATGATATTTTGCACTAACATTAGACTGAAATATATTCTTCATTTCAACATTAATTTTACCAAAATTCTGGTGAATTGTCGTTCATGAGACTCACTTCGCAGAAAAAATTAATAAATTTTCTGTATATACTCAAATGTTCGTTTTCGGCACCTTATGCCAGCATTGTCAAAATGACAGATTAATGTTGCATAAGAACATGAAATTTTATAAAATTCGTAAATTTTAAATTGCTATAACTTTTCATTTTCTTGTTCAATTTTCACAAATCAAATTGCAGTTTATAGAAGCATTTAACAAGCTCGCGGTAAAAAAAAATCAGATGTAACAGACATTGCGAAGTACCCAAAATTAATAAAATAAAAACTAACACCATAAAACGAATGGCACACATAGACTATTAATTGACGGCTGTACTCGCAACTAGTATCGGATTGTCGATGCCACAGTAAAGATCAAAGGACTGTACGCACGCGCTATGTTCAAGAGCGGAGATGTGAGTCCTGTTGAATTACCTTGGATCAAGCAACTAGGGGCGCTAATCAAAAGCAAAAACCTGGAAGGTGACTGAACCACCGCTGAAGAACTTCACGTCGCGAGGTGAAAACTTTTTCTAACACATGCACAATTTCTCTCTAAATGTCCACACGCACGCCCGCACGCAAAATGCATGCATAGGAACTAAAAAGGGTGAGTCCCATGTTGTAGCTGTCCTGTGGAAACGACTGAATTTAGTGTATGAACTTTGTGCAAGGTTTTCATTATGTTATGGCAAACCTTTTTAATGTTTTTAAATGCTTGAAAATAAATATGATGGTAGTAGACTGATGTGATGTATGATTGGGCCAAATGCTGTAGTATAATTAGTCTCTATGAGGCCAGGGCTTGCTCTAATGGATGGACAAGCTATAGAAATAGATTAAATTTAAATGTGATTATTTGCCAAATACAGAAGACTTGATTAAATTATTTGCCATTATGAATATCATGATTGCATAACTAAGAAATATATGAATGTGGTAGTATAATAAGCTAATGTATGGATACATATATGTGCTGTTTGTAGATGCTTTATATGCCAGATCTTGAACTAAAGGAAAGAATAACATGTTCTGCATTCCAAAAAGCTGTGGAGCAGAAGCCTTGGAGTATGATGTTTGCTTCTAAATAATATGGTAAAACAATATTTGTGTGTGGGTAACAGATGTTTCTCACTGCCTGTTCGGTGATGGCAAATTTATTACATAAATCTTTTCTAAAATTTAGCAGTATCTATCATAATTTGTAATTATATCTCATCTCACAAAACTAATCTTTTAAATAAGCAATTTTGCTTGTAATTTTAGATTGCAGGTAGGTACTTTATAGTGCCAGGATTACACAAACACCATCATATAAAAGACTTAAAGGAGCCATGGTTGATTCAATATATTATTCTTTGTAAAGCAATAAGAAAAGCCAATGCCGGTGAATATAAATCCAAAACGAAAAATTAACCAATCAAAAAATCCCCAATTGAATAGACAGTAGTTTTATCTCAAGACATAGAGGCCTAGATGAATAATAGTATATAATTTATTGATGATGATCCATTTTTTTTCATTGCATTTTTCTTGCACTGTATTAAAGTTAATTACAATAATTTAATTAATGAAATTACATGCACTATATTTGCGCTAACTGAAATAATTGCAAACAACATGAAATCTTTTAAGTTTACCTTTTAGGATTAGATACTGAATTATACTGGACACACTATATTTTCTGGAAGAAGTCCATACGTCTAAATACATGTACTGACAAACTTATTTATTTATTTGCACATATACACACAAATATTAAAATAACAAAAAAACTAAGTTAAGAGAGTTCACAAGCATAGACATATTCAATAGTCATAGGATAAAAGCAACATATTATTTAGGTTAAATAATCTATTCTTTGCCTTACCTAACCTTTTACATTTTAAAAGATATTAATAATTACAATATTTTACATGTATTTTTTAATTTTAAGCCAGTTTAATTGTTCATAATCTATTAGTATTTTTGACGATAAATAAGATCAGTTTTGTGTTATTTCTATTTCTTGCTCCTGGCAAGAGAGTACAGTACTTTAATATGATAAGTAAGATCAGTTTTGTGTTTTATTTCTATTTCTTGCTCCTGGCAAGAGAGTACTTTAATGTTGTCAAATTTAGATGTATTTTTTTTAAGTTAATTTTATATTAATTTAATTGTTCATATACTATATTTGTATTTTGGTGATAAGTAAGATCAGTTTTGTGTTTTATTTCTATTTCTTGCTCCTGGCAAGAGAGTACTTTAATGTTACCAAATAACTGATGTTATTACGCAGCTTTATCCTTCAAGTACTGTAGTAGGCCCACTCTCAATCATTATCCAAACGACTCACATTTTTTTGACATACTATCACTACTATCATAAACTAAAATATGGCTATAGAACAGTTTTTTGTCAAAGAAAATTTTATAATCTAGACAGCTTTATATTTATTTTGTGCTCTAATACTAGAATAATGTTTGCCAGCTCTAGGCATGTTTATTGAATAAATTTTTCAGTTCTTTTTTTGAGTGCTCTCAATAAATACAGTTGTCAGAAGCTATGAAAACTGATTTTGCATTTGATTTGCCTTTAAAATGTGTGCAGTGGCGGATCCAGGAATTTGAAAAAGAGGGGGCCAAGGGAGGGACCTTCACACAATATTTCCAACTACAGCTACTCTGGAGGGCTGGAATTAGTTCGAGTGGTTCTGTACTTGTATTATTTCCGATTTTTTTTGTGCGAAATTACATCAAGGGTAACTTAAGTCTTAATTTTGTAGAATACAAAGAGACAATCCCCTCCCATTTTCAGAAGAGTGTACTGCATTCTTCAACATGAAAACCAGACCAACGGTTCATCCAAGAAGTTATTGAAACATGCATTCCTGAGAAACATGGAGAGCAGCGGATAAAATTTAACCACGAACCGAAGTTTATGTAAATACTGTATCGCCTTGCTTGTGCACGCTCACAGAATTTGCCACTGATCTAGCTGACTGAGCTAAGCTGCTCTTACTACCAGCTTGTGATACCATAACAATATGTAGTTGCATATGTTGATATCAAATTTCAAGCTAGGAGTCTGACTTTGGTTTCCAAATACCACAGGTGAAATCGCTGCAGCCACATGCTAGAACACCATTGAGGTAGTGCAAATCTGTTAGCTCTTGTAATTGGTCATCAAGCGTAGTCAACACCGACACAGGATTACAAGGGGTCATCACCTGCAAATCAACAATAAATTAATATAAATTGTACATTGGTCATATTCAACACACTATGTAATTGTAATAAATAAAACAAAAGTACTATAATGAAAACAAAACAAGAATTCACAGTTGAATTAAAGTTTGTTGCTGATCACATTTCTGTACAGTATTTTTAAACTTGCCAAGGATAACAACAAACATTGAATAAATATAAAATAATCATCAGTCCTAGCTTGCACAATATATCTATGATAATCATCACGTTTATGTTTTCATTCATCAAACACAAGATACAAGATATATAGATAAAAAAGAATATATTATGCAATTATAGTCAAGTTTGGAAGATATAACAAATACAGGCTGAGGGAGACATTGCTTCATTACACAGAATAACTACCATCAGTTCTGCTGACAAGTCCAATATTGCACATTAAAGTAGATTAACAAATCAAAACCCAGGCACTAAGCAATGTTTACTGAAAGTCACATTGTACACTGATGCCATGTACATTCTAATAAATTAATCAATTAATATTTAATCATAAACCCTAACTTGGTCTCACCTTTAAGGTTCTATCAGTGGATGCTGTTATGATGCAGCCAACATTATTAGCAATACCAGTGATCTTGCCAGTATGACCAACAGAGAAATTCTGAAAAGATATCAAAAATGTATAATTATCATCTCAAAAAAAAAAATTGTTGATGTTAAATACTGTTTAAATGAATTAAAGCCCCCTCTTTGGTCTGAAAAAGTAGCCTCCTCGAAAAGAAGCCCATTGGCTTCTTTTCAAGATAGCATTCTTTTCAAGATAGTACAGTACATACACTGTACATGAATTTCAAAAAAACAAAATAAATTAAAAACATGCTTGGTTTAAACAGAAGCTTATTTGATTTAGTACCAGTTAATACACTCCATGATACCGAATGATGTTACAGTGGCCCTATTTATTGTTTTATATGGGGCAGTTCTTGCTACCATAACACTACCCTTTCCTGTACTTTAACACTCATCGCACTGTAAATTCTCCATATACCCACTATATGTCACATGACCACATGTAAACAAACCTAGCGGAATATGTCTATTGTGATTCACATTAAAATATTCAGAATAAGTACATTACTCTATCTCAAGCACTCCTTTTCACTATGAAATATAACACTTCTTACACTATATAATAGTTTTTTAACAGCCACATCTTACCTGGACAATGTCAAATTTTCCATATGTTGGATCAAGAACATTAATATTTCCGTTTCGTAGTCCAGTCCACAGCTGGCCATTGGAGTAGGACATGCTCATTGGAAATGCCTCCATCTGTAAAAAGTATTTTGTCAAAAAATATATTTACAACCAGTAGAAAAACAAAAAGAAAACAACACTTCAAATGGATATGAAACGGTTTCTAGAAATCCAAAATCTTGTCATCATTGTTTAGAAAGTCATTGGAAAACCTCGGACACCCAATATTAAACGTATTGGACAATGCCTTATCCCCAAAAATTCCCCCCGAAAGTCACCGAAAATCTTTTTGTGACGTCACAAAAAGATAAATTTGTACAGAGAGGATAGGGAATGTGAAGGTTATTTGCCAATTGACACAATACAGTGATGGTAATAGCTAATCCGCTTTACATTTTTGTTCCTGGATATGTATTTCATCGTAAATGATTAAAATTTGGCTATATATTTCTCAAATTATTTTTTCAAGTCCATTTTTAATGTTGTTTTTACGACTGTCTTTTACGAATTGGCAGCCATATGCCTCGGAGGATAGGCACACGGATGTAATTACACCAAAGATACTAGAAATACAAGATAAAGTTCTCGCATTGTAAAAATGAGGCGGAAGTCGTGCCCAACGTAGGCGGCGCCCTTCTTTTTAACCATGCAAGTTTCCTATACTTCGTGCCCAACGTACAGGGCGCCCTTCTGTTGCTAAGTATATCCAGACGCAAAAGGCGCCCTTCCTTTTCACTAATGGAGGAAAATTATTCAGACTACACTCTGTTGCGATCGGTTGCGATGTAATCGGTGGTAATCCAAAACTGATTACTCCCGATCGCAATCAACGAACGCATTCAGACCAACACAAACTAATTTTACATTCTAGGGC